ACAACACTCAACAGACGTCTGGGGACAGAGGAGACCAGTTTCTCAAGTTTAGAAATAGGAATGCTCTCCCATTCATGGCTAATACAGGCCTCTAACTGTTCAATCGTCTTGGGCCTTCTTTGTCGCACCTTCCTCTTTATGATGCGCCAAATGTTCTCTATAGGTGAAAGATCTGGACTGCAGGCTGGCCATTTCAGTACCCGGATCCTTCTCCTACGTAGCCATGATGTTGTGATTGCTGCAGAATGTGGTCTGGCATTATCGTGTTGAAAAATGCAGGGTCTTCCCTGAAAGAGATGACGTCTAGATGGGAGCATATGTTGTTCTAGAACCTGAACATAGTTCTCTGCATTAACTGTGCCTTTCCAGACATGCAAGCTGCCCATGCCACAAGCGCTCATGCAACCCCATACCATCAGTGATGCAGGCTTCTGAACGGAGCATTGATAACAACATGGGCTATCCTTGTCCTCTCTGGTCCGGATGACATGGCGTCCCAGTGTTCCATAAAGAACTTCAAATCGTGACTCATCTGAGCACAGAACAGTTTTCCATTTTGCCACACTCCATTTTAAATGACCCCTGGCCCAGTGCAAACGTCTGAGCTTGTGGAGCTTGCTCTATGCACTGTAGAGTTTCAGCTGGCAACGGCGGATGGCACGGTGGATTGTGTTCACTGACAATGCTTTCTGGAAGTATTCCTGAGCCCATTCTGTTATTTCCTTGACAGTGGCATTCCTGTTTGAGGTGCAGTGACGTTTAAGGGCCCGGAGATCACGAGCATCAGAATCAGAATGCCTTTATTGTCATTATACGCAGTACAATGAAATTAAGAGCCACTCCTTTTTCCAGTGCAAAAACACGCCTTAAGAAAACACACATTAAACACACACTAAAAATATAAAAAATGTAACGCAATATAGATATAATAATGAAAGTAAAAAATACAAGTATTACACAATTGTATTGCACATTATGGATGTTAGTGAGGTAGTTAAGGTGACTGAGGGTATGAAATGTCAGTAGTATTGCACAGTAGAAGTCCAGGTGTTTGGGAGGTTAGATGATTAAATCAGTGCATGTGTGAGTTCAGTGTGGTGATGGCTTTCGGGAAAAAACTGTTCTTGAATCTGTTTGTTCTTGTTCTGATGCACCTGTAGCGTTTCCCTGAAGGTAACAAGTCAAACAGTTCAAAACCCGGGTGTGAACAGTCCATGATTATGTTTTCTGCTCTGTTGAGGCAGCGTGATGTGTCCCCTCCCTGATGGACATTTGTCCATCAGGGAGGGGAGAGGGCAGCCAATTATCTTTTGTGCTGTCTTAACTACTCTCTGAAGCCTCTCCCTGTCAGCCAGGGTGCAGCTGCCGTACCATACTGAGATACAGTATGTCAGCAGGCTCTCGATGGACGAGTGGTAGAAGGTCAGCAGCAGTTTTGTGTTCAAGTTGTGCTTCTTAAGGACTCTTAAGAAGTGTAGTCTCTGCTGAGCCTTCTTGATGACCGCTGTGGTGTTCTCTTTCCAGTTTAGGTCAGCAGAGATATGGACACCAAGAAATCTGAAAGTGTGAACCCTCTCCACGCACTCGCCGTTGATGTAAAGGGGGGCTAGGTTGGTGCTGTGCTTCCTGAAATCAATAATCACCTCCTTGGTTTTTTTGATATTCAGAGCCAGATTTTTCTCTGAGCACCAGGTTGCTAGCTCCAGGACCTCCTGTCTGTAAAATGTCTCATCTCCCCTTGAGATTAGTCCGACCACTGTGGTGTCATCAGCGAACTTGACGATGAGGTTGTTGTTGTGGGCCGGGCTGCAGTCATGGGTGTAGAGACAGTACAGCAGGGGGCTCAGCACACAGCCCTGTGGGGAGCCAGTGCTCAGCGTACGAGTGGAGGAGAGGTGGGGACCAAGTCTTACAGATTGGGGCCGATTGGTTAGGAAGTCTTTTATCCAGGCACATGTGAGTGGGGGGAGGCCGAGATTGTCCAATGTATTTATAAGAATATCCGGAATGATTGTGTTAAAGGCCGAGCTGTAATCCACAAAGAGCATTCGAACGTAGCTGTGCTGTTGTTCCAGGTGGCTCAGCGCGGTGTGGAGAGCTACTGCAATAGCATCCTCTGTGGACCTGTTGGTGCGATATGCAAACTGGTAGGGGTCAAAGTTCGGAGGGAGATAGTCCATGATGTGCTGGAGAACCAGTCTCTCGAAGCACTTCATGATTACCGGGGTGAGAGCCACCGGTCGGTAATCATTCAGGCTGGTGATGGTAGGCGTTTTCGGCACTGGGATGATGGTTGCAGATTTTAAGCAGGGAGGGATGACAGCCTGGGCCAGGGAGAGATTGAAAATTCTGGTGAAGGTGGGGGCGAGCTGGAGGGCACATGCTTTGAGCACCCTGCCAGGTACTCCATCTGGGCCAGTAGCTTTCCTGGGGTTCACTGATTGGAGGGAACGTCTAACATCATGCTCCCGTACAGTGAGTGGAGTGGTGCAGTAACCGGGTGGGTGTGGGAGCAGGGCAGGATCAGATGGGTGCTGCTGTGGTGCATCAAAGCATGCAAAGAAGCAGTTTAGCTCCTCTGCTAGTGATGCACTCAGGTCTCCTGTTGTCACCTCACAGCCTCTATAGTTAGTGATGTTTTTTATGCCCTTCCACACCTCCCGTGAGTTGTTGCTGGACAGATGGGACTCTATATTCCTTTTATGGTCAGCCTTTGCTGTTTTTATTCCCTTATTCAGGTTGGCTCGAGCAGCTCGGTACAGAGCTCTGTCACCTGACCTGAAGGCAGCGTCGCGGGCTCTGAGGAGTGTGCGAACCTGGCTGGTCATCCATGGTTTCTGGTTGGGGTAAACACGAATGTTTTTGACCATAGTCACATTTCCGATGCAGAAGTTGATGTAGTCCAGTACTGTTCCTGTGTATGTTTCCATTTCCTGATGTTGAAATAAGTCCCAGTTAGTTTGTTCAAAGCAGTCCTGTAGGTCATCGAGTGCATTACCAGGCCAGATTGTAACAGTTTTTGTTGTAGGCCTTGCTCTGCGTCTGAGGGGGGTGTAAGATGGGGGGAGCAGGAGGGAAAGATGGTCTGACTGCCCGAGGTGGGGGAGGGGTATGGCTCTGTATGCATGTTTGCATGCTCTGTATGCATGCATCCAGTAGAGTTTTACAGCCTTGACCCTTACGCACAGCGATTGTTCCAGATTCTCTGAATTTTGATGATGTTATGCACGGTTGATGGTGATAACTTAAAAGTCTTTGCTATTTTACGCTTGGTAATACCATTCTGGTATTGCTGCACTATCTTTCTGCGCAACAATGGTGGAATTGGTGATCCTCTTACCTTCTTGGCTTCTGAGAGACACTGACTCTGAGAAGCTCTTTTTATACGCAATCATGTTGTCAATTGACCTAATTAGTGTTAATTGGTCTTCCAGCTGTTCGTTATATGCACAATTTCCTTTCTTATTGCTACTTGTCCCAACTTTTTTGGGATTTGTTGACACTGTGAAATTTTGAATCAACATATTTTTCCTTTAAAATGTTACATTTACTCAGATTAAACTTTTGATCTGTCATCTATGTTATATTACGAATAAAATATTGACATTTGCCATCTCCACATCATTGCATTCAGTTTTTATTCACAATTTGTTTAGTGTCCCCACTTTTTTGGAATCTGGTTTGTAGATAAAAGTGGCTATTAATGAGACACTTGGCTTGCCATACAAAGTCACCTTCATCTCGCTCCGGAATTCTTGGAGAAACGCCAAATCAGCTGCATTTTGCAGTGATGCCCAGGCAAAATGCAACTGATTTGACCATTAGAGTGCATTTATTAAGGAAAAGTTCAACTGAGAAACATCTTTACTATAATGTCGAGCAAACAAATAATTGTTTAGGTTGTTATCTTGGTAAATTTTGAAGAAATGCACAGTGAGTCCTCCCTCTGCGTGTTCCAGCAGCCGCAAATCGGCTTTTGAAATGCAGTTGATTTGACCGTCTAAGTGCATTTATTAAGGAAAAGTTCAACTGAGACACACCTTTGATATAATTTCGAGCAAACAAATAATTGTTTTTAAGTGTTAATCTTGTTAAATTCTTGTTAAAGTCTTCTGGTGCATGCTCCCGCAGCTGCCATTTGGCAGCCAATCGATTTTTGGCAAAATACCAGCCCACGTTTCCAGGGGGTTACGCGGTGACGCGTAACAAACGCGACGAGTCAGCAGTGACACATAATAGATGTGACTTATATAGCAAAGCGACTTATTTATGTTTTTTCCACTTTATTAGACATATTTGGACTGATGTGTCTTATACGGTGGTGCGACGTGTATGGCGGCAAGTACGGTATATAGCACCAAGTCACAACAGAAGTCATGGGATTCATTGGGTTTCATGGACAAATATAATTGTGTATCATAAGCATAACAATTAAAAGTTATCCCATGCTGTTTAATAACATTACCTAATTCAATTCAACCTTTGTTTATACAGGTTAGTCTCAATGAGCCTTGAGGACTCATTTACAAGAGAAACCCGTTTTAAACAAAGAACACAGATGGCAACAGTAGAGTATCATAAAAAAGTATATAAAATGAAAAGTAAATGGAAGAAATTATATTTAAAAAATAAAATAAATAAAACAACTACATTATAAAGCGATGTAAAATACTAAAAACAGGAACATGTCTGTGTTGGTTTTTGCCATGAGCAATGGAAGCATATATAAAGTAAAGAATACTGGGCCAACCACTGAAAACTGAGGAACTCCATGACTAACTTTGGTGTAAGAAGAAGATTTATTATTTACATTTACAAACTGGAATATATCAGATAAATATGATTTAAACCAATTTAGAGCCGTTCCTGTAATCCCAATATCAAAATCAAGTCTCTGTAGTAAATAATGTGATCAACTATATCAAATGCAGCACTGAGGTCTAACATCCATCCATCATCCACCCATCCATCCATCCAAGAATGAGTTGGATTTACCTTACCTTAAATATTTGTCTTTGTCTTTCTGCATCAATTCCCAGATGCACCATTGCCCCAACAGTTTCATGAAAATAATATTCTAGAAAATAAAAAAAAATGCTTGTAAGAACATACATTAATCTATTATTTAAGAAATAAAAAATGGTCCTACGATACACAAGAAAACGAAGTACCAACCTTCAACTTGTTTTTCAGAATTTGGCAGCCAAACAAAATGTTGGTCGTGTTGCATCTTCCACTCTTTTCTCTGCTCGTCTGTGGCCCCTTTCATCATCTGAAACACAAACATCTCTCAGAAAACAGGTAAAGACTCACATTATGCGAAAAACCAACAACTGTTAACTCACCTGGTAGAAGATGTGGAAGTTCCTCTCGTTGGCTGGCTGACAGGACACTCTGGTCTTTTCCAGCAGATATGTCTGCACTGAAGCACCGATTAGCAGCTGACACCTTGATGTGAAATACACAGGATGAACAGGTGATGCCTGAGGGTTTTAGAGGAGAAAAGGTGGTGCGTACCTGTCTAGCTGCAGCTTGATGTACTTCCCAAAGCGACTGCTGTTGTTGTTTCTTAGTGTGCAGGCGTTCCCTGGAGACAGCACTCAGCTGATGAATGACTGAGAAGATACAAACTATTTAACATTTAAAAATGATTTCCTGTTGTCTTACCAAAGGCCTCCATTAGAGGATTGGAGTCCAACACCCTCCTCTCTATCCTCTCTACTGTGTCCTGACTCTTCATCACCGATGAGGAGGCTGCCACAATGGCATAATATTTCATCAGACAACGAGAAGTCCATGTCTAGAAAAAATAAAACCAATAACACAACAGATTATTAATTATATATACCACAACATTTATGTTAAATGTCCTAAAGTGAATATTTTGAATAACTTCAAACACACAAGGTTAAAACAATGTTTTTGCTCTCTTCAGTTTCTGAACTGTAAACTGAACACGCTACAGTTTAAACTCTAGTTTAACACAACAGATTTAGATTATTTTCGCCTGCCGCTATTAAAGGTGGGAAAAAAATGTGGTTGACGTTGTGTGTTTGCCTGTTAGCAAAATATCTCAGGAACCAGTGGACAGATGTTAATTTTTTTTTTTTCAGCTGCTCTCTTCTTCAGGGGTCGCCACAGCAATCTAACTTGCATGAAGACTTGGCAATTATTTTTATGCCAGATGCCCTTCCTGATGCAACCACAGACCACCGAGCTACCACAGCCCCCTGTGTGGAGCAGAGAGCTGCTATCTAGGGCACCTGGCGGAGCAGATGGTGGGGGTTAAGGGCCTTGCTCAAGAGCCCAGAGTGGGGCAAATGAGGGCCGAGGCAGGTGTGAGTGCTTCACATTTCCCACCCACATTTTGATGTTGTCGGTCCAGGGATTCGAACCGGCGACCTTCCCATCACAGACCAACCTTCTCTAATCTCTGCGCCACCACTCCCAGTGGACAGATGTTAATGAGTCTCTCAAAGTATCATCAAATGTGCATCTAAAACTGACTAACTTCTGGAGGCAACACAATTCAAGACGGCTGCCACATCGAATCGGCCTTAGCAAACACAAGGATAGTTCTATGTCAGCCAGTTTTAGTTATCCATCCATCCATCCATTATCTTTACCCGTTTGTTCCATTTTGGGTCACGGGGGTCGCCGGTGCCCATGTCCAGCAATCACTGTGCAAGGGGCGGGGTACACCCTGGACGGGTCGCAAGTCCATCTGATATAAGAATGATTATTTTGATGCTTTTATGTCAATTTATACTTATTTTATACTCATTTTATATGCAGCTTAACTGTGCAAATCAGGCCTTGTGCTGCAGAGGGTGATGTGCTTCAAAGGAATGTAGATAAGTCTCCGGGAGTGTTCTTACCGAAAGACTTGGCCCGTCTGGCGGTTACAACAACCCGGAGTTTTCTGTAAACATGTCTTTCATCCATCAGGCTCGTACGCAAAGGCCTTGGGTTTGAAAGACATGTTTTTAAGAGCCATCGCTCTGCTGCACAACTGCCTTGATAACGGGTAAACATGTTTTGCTCTGCCCGCACGTCACCCAGCCAGAGGGGGAGTATAAAAGTGTAACACTCAGAATAAGAGTTGAAGTCTGCTGTGGATCCTGATCCGATGCCCAGCCTGAATTGATGTTACCTTCTCACTCGGACTGAAATGGCTTCCCGGTCTGGTGTCACGGTGAGGGGCTTTTTACATCAATATCTGATTTGTACTGAATGTACTTTTGCTTCACTGTATCTGTGGCAGTTTAATAAATGACACTTATTATTCTAGCAGAAACAGCGAGTGAGTTTTACCATTTTCTCCGAACCTGTATTTTGTTTAAGATAATTTCATGGAACACCATCACAGGGCCACATAGAGACAAACAACCATTCACTTTCTCATTCACACCTAGGGACAATTTAGAGTTACCAATCAGCCTAACATGCATGTTTTTGGTCTGTGGGAGGAAACCGGAGCACCCGGAGAAAACCCACGCACGCACGGAAAGAACATGCAAACTCCACCCAGAGAGGCCCCTGGACCGGGGTTTGAACCAAGGAGCTGCTCGCTGAGAGGCAGAAGCTCTACCAGTTGCGCCACCGTGCTGCCCCAGTTTTAGTTATTGAGCTCAAATTTAGTGATAACAGTTGAGTCTTTCCCCACTCATATTCCAAGTGTTAACAGACAATGCAGGATCTTGGATGAGGTTATTCTATGTGACATAAATTCATTTTTTAATATCAGATGATTAGTTTCAAACTCTGGCATGAAAGGCAGTGGACGATATGCTGTCCTTCGAGGAATGTTAGGTCTTTAATCTTTAAATGTAACACACTCCAATATGAGCCGACTTACCTTTCCAGCTCCGCTCTCACCACTGACCACCAAGGACTGGTTCACCGGCTCCAGCTGACCCTGAACATTCCTGTAAGCTTCTTCTGCCACAATAAATATATGTGGTTTAAACTCCTGTAAACCAGAAAACCCACACTCATTAAAGAGGTCATTATCCTCGGTTTATTCAGTGCATTTATTTTGTTTGAAAGCATGATTTCAACCCTGTACTGTCATATAAAGAGTGCCACTCCTTCCTGTTTGCAGCACTGCCAGTGCCCAGTGTTGGCGAGGCTGCTGTAAATACCTGAGGCTGAGAAGCGAGATGATACTCCTTCATCACATCCAGAGAGTAAAGGTCCGGAACGAGCTGGAAGGGGTTTAGAGCCACCAAGGTGCAGCCAGCATGGGTGTAAAACATGTTCACACTGTACCTGGCCTGCAAACATTTTAGTACTACAAAGGAAAACAATAAATATCATTAAGCACATGAGAAATGATTTACAGTCACATGTTCCTGATAGTAGCCACGTAACTCATAAATATTAAAATAAGGTTGAGTAATCTTGCAGGGGGAAAAATCCTTTGTCTTATGCTTATAAAGCTACAGGTAAAAATTACTAAAAAAAAAGTTTTGCAATAAAACTATACACTAATTACTGAAAAAACAGTCACTTACTCCCATACTCACTTTTAGATATTGATGTTTGTGCATCTAAGACACAACTGGTTCAAAGATTGAATAAACCAAAGAGTTTTATTGTCATTCCAAGTGAGTGCATGAGGAATAAAAAATAGATATGGAGTTTCCGGTTGCCAGCAGTGAAAACACAATAAAAAAAAAATAATACATGTACAAGTTAGACATAAAATGTATGTAAAACCCTAGAGCAGCAACGGATTAGATTAGTGTTTATACATGATATATAAAAGAGGAATCATGAGTGTGACTGCTTCTGTAAAGAGTCTGGTTGATCTGGCTTTGATGCTTTGCAGCCCTCTACATGAAAGCAGGGGGGCAAACACTCCATGAGCAGGATGGGTGGGGTCTTTCATAATGCTAGCCATGGAAATGTCACTGACTGCTGTGAGGCTGCTCCCAGTGATCTTCTGAGCAGTCTTGACCACTTGCAGCAAGGCTTTTTAGTCTTCATCAGAGCCGTTTCCATACACAACCAGTTGCCCGAAGCCCTTCTTCACAAATGCTGTGAGTGCTACTGGACGGTAGTATTCAGGCGTGGTGAGCTTAAAGACGGAAATTATAGTAGTACCCAGTAGTTATGAAGCGTGATGGTATGACTGCTTTTCCAAGAGAGGTGTTAAAAATATCAGTTAGTACCTCTGAGATGTGTACAGTCTTTCAGGACGTGACCTGGGACGTTGTCTGGCCCTGCAGCCTTACGTGGCCTGATGTTCTTCAGGGTCTGTAAGGCATCCTTTGGTGTAATACTCAGAGGCTGCTCACTGGGTGGCTGGATGGTTCTGGTGTTAAGAAAGCTGTTCATATCCTCAAACAGGCAAAAGAGGCATTGAGAGCATCAGGAAAAGATGGAACTCTGGGGCATTCAGCGTCCTTCTCAAGGTCAAGGTCTCTTTATTGTCATTCACATCACATGTGGTACATGAGGTGGAACAAAACTATGTACACAGGGTCCCAGTTACATCCAACAAATATACAAATTGTAAAGAAAAACAGTAATAATATCTAAGATATGAAGTAAGGAATCCACTAAACTAGGAATATACTAAGCACTAATAGTACAAAACAATGTGCCAAACAACAGCAGCACAAACATGAGTCTGTGTGAGCAGGTGAGGGCGAATGAACACAGCGACATGAAATAAATCAGCAGCATGAGATCAGCAACATGGATAGTCAGCAGCACATATCAACAATCAAATCTTACATCCGTTATGCTTTTGATTCCGGACCACATGATACTGGGATCAGTTTTGATCAAATACTCTTGCATTTTAACCTCACAGTATGCCTTCCCTTTTAATTCCAACGATGACTGCCCTAAGTGCCACAGCATCAGAGCAGATAGGATTACTATCTGCATCAATCAAAAAAATGTAAAAGAACATGGTTTATAAAAAGTCTCTTGAATATGTTACACAATCGTAAAACATTCAAATGTAGAGGAAACACAGTCGTTCATATTTTAAAAATCTATAGTCACATATCTTGCAGAATGATGCTGCAGTAATTACCCTGACCTCTGCTGTTTCTAAACTGTACTGTTTAGTTTTTCCCCTTTCTTTGAGGCAGAACTAATGACTTACTCTGAAGTATCTTAACTTTTTGTTATTAAATGAAACTTAAATTATTCCTTTCCAGATAGGAAGTAAAGAACGTCCTTGGTTCTGACATTTGAGTAGAACTTGCATCTTATTATTGTAGTGAAATAGTAACCAGTCAGGCATTAATCTATCACTTCAGACGTTTTATATTTGATACCTGTTGTTGGAGTCACCGGGTTGACTTTAGTAAGGTCATCATAAGTGTGCAGTTGGTCTTCATCAGTGAGGAAGGCCTGGATTTCCCCATCCAGCGAATCATTCAGATGTGGGTGAGGACAGTGAACTTTCTGGATGAATCCCTTCACCTGTGCAGAAACGAGACGTGAACAAATATTTTAAAAATGACACAAGTCCGTACACGAGTGCTGAGCTTTTGTGTGTAATGTATTTGTTATTCCCACAACATGAGACAAATGTTTAAAACCCAAACAGCTCTCTGCAAACATCAGACGTGTTGTCGTGTTTTGACTTTGAGAAAATTCACCAACATCATTACAGGGTCAATAAACCCTTTCTGGAATAAGAATAGCCTCTCACATCATTATACTACAGAGAGTATAATTTTCATGGAGATTGTTAATTTTTAAAAAGTTAAAACCTACACTCAAGTTCTCGCTAATGTCTGAGGTATGTGTGAAATTTTTGTCACAAATCCTTTCAGCCTTATAGAGATCCACTTTATCCTAACACAATTTGAACCTGAAGTCTCCCTGGAGGCTGTAAGCTGCCCAAGACACCCATTTGGTCCAGACATAGTTAATCAAATATCTGACAGCCTACATCCCACAATTCTGCCATTTTAATAAGGTGTATATTAATGATTGTTATAAATTTTGATACCTGAAACATGACTTGTATATACATTAGTTTTATAGTCTTGAAATGGCTTTTAAAATATATATAACTATTTCTAAGTGGACAAAAAATTGCAGTAAAATGCACAAAGTGAAATGTCAGCCTTTTTAAAAACCTGTTTGTGAAGTGCTGAGAGATATTTAAAGCACTGCCAACTGCAAACTACTACTGTAAACAACTACAAGTACAGACATCCCTGTCAGTCAGTGTGCGCACTTTAAACCAGACTGTAATAACGAATGTAAAAAGTCAAATTAAGTTTAGTAAACAAAGTTTAACCGTGGGGACTATTTTCATAGGCGGAATAATATTGTTATTCGGTCCCTGGTACGTTTTTGTCTTTTTAAAAATATACATTTTAAGTTTAACATTTTACCAATCTGAGCCAATAAGTCATAAATATGACTAAAAAATCGAGAAGGGGTTCTCTGCAGACCAAAAGTGGGCGTTTCTGGCGAATAGGCGTTTTCGGGCGGCGAACACTGATTGGCTAACAGTATTTAATAGGCGTTTGTCGGCGGCGAACACTGATTGGCTATGGGTAACCCTCAAAGTCATGAGGATTATTGATGAGGTAACGTTTCTTTGCGATGTTTGACAAAGAAATATGATTTATTGTACTTATAAAGTATGTTATGTTTTCACTTATGCATATTATTGAAGTACGTTTATTGTAGGTCACGATAGTTTCGACCGTTCTCTCGTTGTTGTCGTGCTTTAGAAGTTTAGCTCATGTGAAAACATGGTGGGGAATTCCCATGCAAGTAACGCACTGAGGTAACGTGAGCCTCCACTCGGCTCCAGCAGCTCTCACTGTGCACGTGTACAACAACTGGGTGTTGCTTTTCAAAATAAAAGCTGAAAATAAAAGTTCTTAATACTTGAAAAATATATATTTTAAAGCTGTGTATAACTGAAAAATATGAAAAACAAATAAATAAAAGTTGTTAATTATATTTATGTCTTTCTGCCATGTCAGGAACCACTCTCACTTCAGGTTGACTCTAGAAGACCCCAAGATGTTGCTCAACAATGTTAACCAACATCTGATGTTGACTTTCAAAATAAACGAAGAAGCCTGAAGTATTTCAGGCTGAGCACAGAAAGCCTTATGTAATTTCTGTTTGCTTAAGCTGTGGGGAATAATTTAAAGATTGTGGTGCAAGTTTCTGGGGCAGTGGCAAAAGAGGAGAGCTGAAGGCCTTCCACAGTGAAGCCATTACTCCTGGGTACTGCACCCACTTTTGTGCCATGGATGCAGGGTTAGTAGTCCAGCTTCTGTACTGTGATGCCCACACATTACAATAAGTAACAACTAGCAACACCCTAACTGTACTATGTTCTGTGTTTCCAACAGATGCTACGATGACTTCTAAAAATGGACGTCCCAATAAACACAATAAAAAAATTCAATGATGCATCAAATGTTGTCTGAGTATGTTTTAAGGTAATAACAAATGTGAAATCTGGAAAACAAAGAGAATTCCTGAATCTGTCTTGTGCGCTTTGATGTGTACATAAGTTTATTGGAGGTCCTGAAACATCTTTTCTGAGAACACAAAGATTTTTATTTTACCTTTGGCCAAGATGTCAGTTTGAAATCAGGCTGCTTACTGCAAAACCAAGAGGTTTTTTTACGACAGACAGTCTTCATTTGTATTGTTTTGTCGACTAAGCTAAATGTAATTTCTAAAATATGGATAAATCTGATCTCATCATGCAGCATAAGCAACTGGGTACAGGTGTGAGGGCCAAAAGTCTGGTTATGTACTGACTCCTAAATGTGCTTGTTTTCTACTGAAACATGGAGTAGGGTTGACTTTTAAAATGTGAGACAGCTGAGGAAGTTAACCAGTAAACAGAAATACCAGCTCCAGTTGCAGAAATCTTACAGAAACTGACAAATCACTCATCTGTGGTGACTGCAGGTTGAACAAGAAAATGTGAAGTTAAAGGAAACATTCTTTGTCCCAAGGCCAGTTTAAGTATCATTAATATTTTTCTTTCTTTATGAATCGATTGTAACTTTTTTCACATTTTTCAACAACCAAAATGGAATTTGTTTTTTAATGTTATGGCTAGGTATTAAAAAAAAACACCTAACGTTTAGCTCTCCCCACTACCCAGTTATGTTGCTCTTATTTTGAAATGTAACCGGAAGTTCTGTGTTAAGAGAGGCGAAAAAAGAAGTTATGGAGACGCCGCGACAGTATACTGGAGCAATGTAGAACCGAGACGCCGCTAATGTCGAACCGGTTAACACCATAGACATAATATGCCTGTGGTTAACACAATCTGCCAATAACGTTTTGTTTTTAGACATCATATGTCTGTGGTTACGGCATTTTATCGTTCAGCCTTTTTTTCTATCATCCAATCAGATGTGGCCGGCCAGACACGCCCATTTTTTATCGTCCAATCAAATATGGCCGGCCAGACACGCCCATTTTTCTATCGTCTAATCATATGGGGCCGGCCGGACACGCCCATTTACATATAGTCCAATCAGATATGACCGCCCAGATACGCCTACTTTCCTATAGTCCATTCAGATATGATCGCCCAGATACGCCTTCCTAATTTGCCTGCAGAGATACCTACTTGGAGAAATCAAACTCCTTCTAAACTTCCAGACCAGTGTGTCTTACCGTTGTTTCTCCATGTTTGAATCCCACTGGAACGTGACGTCGGGCCACAGAACTCATTGATTTTATCGCCTCCTCGAAAGTCAGTCGAAACTATGGAGACAGCACTTACTTAAATTGTAGTTGAGAAGATTTTAATTTACGGTGAAGAAACTAAAACTATCAGTTCCATTGCGGTTCCTTGCTCAAGGACGATCTTTCAGTGTCCGACTGACTCACAGACACCCAAACTGCACATAATTCCCGCCCTCTCAGTGACGCTTCGACATGTCTGTTTACGCCCTTGATAGCTCCACATTAACGGCTACTTTGAATGTGTTTTTTATTTACCCGAAAATTATGACCATTAAATTATTGCTATATGCCAAACGTTTTTTTTTTGTCTCAGATTCTGTAATTATTAGATGGCCATTCAGTGTATCGGGTATTATCGGTGTTTTTAAGACTCCTGCAGGCATAAATAATGTGAGTCCTTGTAAATTGCCAAAACTCCGAGCTGTCATGAATGCGCCACAGGACCCGGAAGTATCTGTTGTCAGAAACCAGAGCTTCCAGCAGTAGAGCGATGCTGGAAAACAGGCAGTGTTGTCAACCATTATTTCCCACTTTCAACAGACAAATCTTATGCAAGTACGGGTAAATAGAGACGATTACTTTGGTAAAGTTATTAAACGACGTCAAACACGTTATTTAGTTATCTTTTCGTGGTGAGTACTTGCAAAATACTACCAGAGAGTGAGCTAATGTTGCACAACTTTCAAATAAAATTGTTTTAATTCTTAGCTTTATTGAATAGATTTGTTCTACAAACGGTTTTGACTTTAAATCAACACATAAGGGGTGATTTTGACTATACCTAAGGTTATCACTAGGTGGTATCATCAGGTGGGACTAACCTGTATAAATAAAGGTTGAATGGATCAAAAAATGTTAGCTGTAATGTTAGCTGTACACGAGCTGTCATGATTTTCCAGTGTATCATTCATATGTGTCATTTTCACCACTTTTTATTGTCTGTCCAAACAGGTCTCACTTGTATATGAGTCTTTGAGGCTCAATGTGGCTTATCTGTTTAAATAAAGACTGAATGAATGAATTCTTTCATGCAACCTTTATTTACAGTAAATAGTCTCATTGAGTCACAAGGACTCATTTACAAGAGAGAACCTTTATGTGATATGATGCAGTGAGTTTTGTCACATGTATTAATTGGGTCTTTTTGTGGTCTCTTTTTTTTTTTTGTAGGACATGGCTCCAAAGGATCTAAAGGAAGCGTTTGTCAGTAATCTCAATGGGACCAGTTTAGGAGAGGTGGCACTGGGAACTTTTCTCGCTCCAGTTTGCTTCATGATCAGAGGACTCATCTTTATACTCTACCAGCAGATTAAAGGAACTCTGCCGCTGCCTTTCCCAACAATTTCCCACCTGTTGCTGGACTTCTGTGTGCTGATTCTCCCTCTCGTTCTGTCATGTACCGTTCTGAGCAGCTTTCTTCTCCAGGTCGCCGTGAGCCTAACGTTTGCTTCAGCCTGTGTGTTTTACTACATCTACCACACCAGCAGTACATTTTCTGCTCAGCGTTCACAGAAGCCTGTCAGCAGTTTCCTGCAGAGTCACGTTCAGTTCAACCAGGTCCCTTTTGTGACTCTCTTCAGAGTGTTTATAAATGTTAAAACTGCCATCAGCATCCTTGCAGTGGACTTTGTTGTCTTTCCCAGACGTTACGCCAAAACAGAAACCTATGGCACTGGAGCTATGGACTTTGGAGTTGGAGGATTTGTGTTTGCGAATGCCCTTGTTTGTCCTGAGGCGAGGAGGAAGAACATCTCTGGATCCAAGATGAGTTACGTTACGAAGCAGATCCTGGCCGTCTGGCCACTGCTCACTCTCGGTATGGGAAGGTTAGTGAGCGTCAAAATGACTGGCTACCATGAACATGTGACAGAATACGGCATCCACTGGAATTTTTTTTTCACTTTAGCAATTGTCCGAGTTCTGGCTTCTGCACTTTTGACTGTTTTACCTTCCAGATACTTGTGGCTCTTTGCTCTTCTGATCAGTGGAATTTATCAGTTTTTTCTTGAGACTTCAGAGCTGAAGGCTTTCATCTTGCACAACCACGACAGAGAGAAGGACTTTGTGCATGCCAATAAGGAGGGCATATTCTCGCTAGCAGGCTATGTTGCCATCTACCTAACAGGAGTTCAGATTGGACACTATGTGATGCAACCAAGATCCCAGGTTAGAGAGTGGCTCAGAATGATTTTCAGTCTCTTCTTGGGAAGTCTCGTCTTGTTCGCTGCTTTGCGCACATGCCAGACTCTCGTGGAGCCAGTGTCTCGCCGCACTGCTAATTTTCCTTTTGTCCTCTGGAGCCTTGCTCAGTCTTTGTTTTTTATGTCCTGCTTTGGACTAGCTGATATGCTTTTACTGTTTCTGAAAAGAACTTCAGATAGTCGCATTGTGCCTTCATGGCTGGACACATACAACAAAAGAGCAGACACTGACAAAGGCCTCTGCAAGACGAGAGGTGAAACAGACAAACTCTGCATCGTTCAAGCCGTCAGCAGGAACCAGTTGTTATTTTTCTTGCTTTCAAACGTCATGACGGGTTTGACCAACTCCCTGGTGGACACACTCAGCTGCAGTGGTTCATTTTCAGTGTGTGTGTTGCTGCTGTACATGTTCATAAACTCCTTGGTGATTTATGTTTTACATGTTTGTGGAGTTACAGTAAAGTTCTGGTGAAAGTTGCAACTGTCCACTTACCATTTGTTTACATTTTTTAATCTGGGGCATTTAAAAAGGCAAAACACTGAGAATTAATTTGTAAGTAAAAATGTAAAATGTTATCAGTTTGCTGAGAATACTCCTAATCTGTATTTATGTTTTGCTTATGTGTTTTTATTTTATTTTAAAATTCTAATTTGTCTCTGTATAAATGAAGACTTGAAAAACTATTTTATGTGAATTTGAACTCTGTTTCTGTGTTTGTTTATTTTTTTTATTTTTTTATAATATCTGTTTTGTATTCCATTTGGATCAGCCCTTTATAAAACTGGTTGGGTTTTTAAGTCTTTAAATGTGATGAGGGGAAAATTCATTTTTAATACTTCAGCATTAAAATTGTCAGTTTTGTTAACAAAACATTGATTTTATTTTTTGCAAAGGATTTTACAGCTTAAAAATATTGCTTCTACTTTGCTTTTTATTTTATTGATACACTATAAAATTAACTTGCACTTTGTTTCATTTGTTCACTAGAACACACTGCAAAATAGTAAAGCAAGTAAAATTGTATTGATTATTTTTTTCGTATAACTCTAAATTCAAAGTTCTGGCTTCAGGGACACCCTGCGGTGAAACATTCAATGTGTTATGCTAGAAGTGAACACATTTTCACTGATTTACTTTGGTTACAATTTTTTGACTTCAGTATAGTAACAATTTGCATTTTGTCAAAACTTTTGATTGAACCTTTCAGTCAGTGTCTGTTGTAAAGAACATCTCTCTTTTTAAGCCTTATGTCGAAAACCTAGTAAAGAAACTGAAAGTTAAACTGGGTTTTTTTCTTTCAGAAATAGATCCTGTCTAACTCTGAATGCTAGGAAACACCTTGTAACTGTGACTTTAAGTTCCTTCCCTCTATTGATTACGGTGACATTATTTACATGAACGCTCCTACAAGCACCCTGCAGATGTTGGATGCTGTCTATCATGGTGCACTGATTCATAACTGGCAGTAACTACCATACCCACCACTGCACCCTGTTAACTGGACATCATTGACTTCACGCAGA